ATCGTCGCAGGTACTACAGGTGCAAAGATTTTCTTGGTGGCCAAATTACAATTCTTGATTAAGTCATACAAGTTGGCGGACTAGTCTTATCGATTTCATCATTCTCAACGTCATACTTGAGGATGCATTTTATCCCTGTTTTCTATGGCAGCGTTGATGGAATTCCCCCGTACCACGATTTCGTTTTGGATTCGTTCGATTATTCTCCAAGCCTACACTCTTGCTGGCCTACCTGCTCCGGTCGCCTCCAACCCTCACAAAACTCTTGCTGTCACCTCTACTGTGGCTTTACACTGTTATTGTACTTTGGCTGCAATTATGGAAGGATGCTTCTTGAAATCCAATACAGTTTTTAGCTTCCCACTATCTCCGACACATTTCTGTGACTGACGTCAAAGGTCTACAGCAATTTGGACCCTTATTGTTCGCACACACAGGTCTCCAGGACACAGCTTGATTAAGCTGACATATGCCCGATTTTGTTCCTGAATCTGTGTATTACAATACACCTAGAACTTGTTTCCTTGAGTTTATTCTATTTTGGGGGTTCCCCATACTGAGTATCCAGTCGGAAGATATTTTCACTTGTTTGTTGAGACCTCGGTCTTCATCACGATGTCGCCATGTGAGTCGCCACTCACCTCTGCTTTTGGCATGTGTTGGGTATTGGGTCTTGTGAATATACTGTAAATCTTGAAATTAACGCTATCGTGAATTAAATGGGAAAAATGCAAACAGTCTTTGCTTGCATTAATTAACTTCGCATTGATGTCTCCAAATGACTATCAACAATAAGACGGCCTCGATGCACACTTTGGATAGCGGAAATACCAACTTGAATATAAACACAAACATGGTTTATTGAGTTGCAGTTGTAACAAATATTTAAAAATGTCATTCAAAAAATAGGAATTACACAATTGGCCTCCTGGTGAGATATCACTGCTTGGGTCAGGAGTTCTACCCACTCGTGTCAAGCTTGTTGACACCTTCTCAGCATACTTCTTCATAGTCAGTGAACTGTTGTTGGTTCGATTATTTTATTGCCTTTGAAGTTCCTTAATGCCAGTAAGCAGAGTAAACATATAAACTGTGTGATGTTTTCAGGAAATCACTGTTGATTGTCTTTTATGGAAGTGCTCTACTCTAATAAGCAGTGCTAGTTGCTGTTTGATTGGATTAAGGTAAGGATATGTATCATTCCGCTGGGGATGGGTAGGGGGAGTGGCATTGATATTGAGTCGCATTTTTGGCTAGGGGTCAGCAGTCATATTAATTTGGAGACGCATTAATTTCCAGATTTACTGCAGTCGATCTTTCCTCTTCTCGTCCGAACTTATTGAATCAATTGTAAATCGTAGTTTGTATTGTGTGGCTTTTCGATTATGCTAGCCTATGTCAAACATGTTCCTCATATAGTACAAAAACACTTTTTGAAGTGTTTTATCCGTATTCACGAGCTTTGTCATTCAGACACGAGACAGTGATACTTTATATGGTTTTGTATCCTTGTTTATAGCTCCAGCTTCCTTGTATGTATCCTTTATTATAGCTAAAATGGATAGAATTATCATTAAACCGCCTGCATGTTATCAGAAACGAGCAGGTCACTGTAACTTGATTATGCCTTCATATTGCTTGACGACGGGCCATTATCACGCCTGTTCTTAGGTGACGTCATAGGATAGGGATAGGTGACGTCACGTTCAATTTTGACGTCATCTGGTTTGTTCTCTGATGTTTCCATGTTTGTAAAACTTGGTCAGTGACATTCGTGTTGATTGCAGTAAATGTTTCCAAACCAATATTTCGACACCCAAGCCAGTGCTCTGACCACAGTTGCCAGGTGTGTAAATTTGTTCAAGGCGATGCAGAATCTGCTGTCTGAATCTTGTGTGTCAAAGATGTTGTGGATGGTGCTGCTCGAATGCCTTTCACCAGCCGTGCAGCTTGGCAGGCTACACAACATGATTGTTCAGATCTTAGAAGGACTCATTCTCACCTCTTTCAAGGAACCCGTCCATCCAAGAAACACACAGATATCCCAGATGTCAAGAGATACCTGAAGGAAGTCTCTATTGCGTCGGATGGTTTGCTCATTGTACGTGTCAGTCAACCATTTCATCCTGTACGTGAACGTATTGTTGTTCTAAGGCCTGTTCTAAATGGTCTCCTTACTGCCTTACACATCATGTTCAATCACCCTACCATTTATCAGACTAAAAAACTGTTCAACAGGTACTTTTTTTGCCTTTTTTTAGACAAATCTCTTCAAGCTGTGGATTCATCATGTCACCACTGTGTGTCTTTGAAATCCTTGCCTGCTCAATTCTATCCACAGTCAAGCAGTCCTCCGCCTGCGTCTATTGGTGTCAACTTCGCTGTGGACGTCATGAAACGCTACTGTCAACTTGTGTTTGTTCTTCGGGAAACTGTGTCTTCCTTCACAATGACATGCCTGATTGAGAGTGAGGAATGTGACGATCTACGCAATGCCATCCTATCGCTTTGTGTCGACATGAGACATCTTGGTGATAGTGGCACCACTATCAGGGTTGACCCTGCACCAGGGTTTATGTCCCTCGACAAGGATCCATTACTGAAGAAGTCTGGTATTGAACTTGAGATTGGTTCGCCAAAGAATGTTAACAGAAACCCAGTGGCAGAATGAGCCATTGAAGAAATTGGCACAGAATGCTTACATCTATGCCCTGAGGGTGGCCCGTTGTCTCGGGTTAACCTGGCAATTGCCACAGCCAATATGAATTCAAGACTCTGTAAAGGTGGTCTGTCTGCACGTAAAGTATTTACCCAACATGATCAATTGACTGGAGAACAACTACCTATCACAGACAGGCAACTCATTCTTGAACAAAATATCATCAGAACATTTAACCATCCACATAGCAGCAGATCTAAAGCTCATGGTAACACTGTAAGGCTGAAACTAAGTTTCAAGTTGGTGATCTTGTATTTCTTAAAAGAGAGAAAGAAAAGACACATGTAAGGGACAAGTATATGGTTACTGGAGTTTCGGAGGATCAGTGTCAGCCTAGAAAGTTCACCAAATCACAGTTTCGTTCCAAGTTATACACTGTTCGAACTTTAGATTGTTACCATGTAAAACCTACCATGCTTAGCATGTCATCCTCAGGACCAATTAGAGGTATTGATAGAAAATATCCCAGTCGTGCAGATATTCAGGCTTTACCTAGCCAAGCTGGTGAATCTGTGATAGAACCCGATAGTAACTCAGTTGACAATAACCAGCAATTTCAAAATGATGGACATGCAACTTTGGTTGATGATAATGGACCACAACATGTTGAAGATGAAGCTACAGAGCAATGTGATGATACCACACCTGTCACTGAAGTTCCTCTGAGGATGTCATCCCGACCTCGCAGAACACCTGCTTGGCAGACATCTGGAGATTGGATTTTGAACTGACTTGGTTAACAAGACTTACCCATACCATTGGTGCCTTTAATGTCTAATGTGCATCTTTAACAAAACTCATAAGTCATTATTTGTATCTCCTCAAAATATGAGAAGATGGTTGCGCCATTTCATTGATTTTGTTTCTGTTTTCGTTTTATCACAGACCGCCTTTTTTGTAAAAAAACCTTCCTTCCGGTTCGGGCATTGTAGTTGGTTGTGCATTAAACTTGTGTCACGAGAGACTGGATTTGTCCACATTGGCGCTATGCCTACAAAGATTAAGAAAGAGAATGAGCTAGCTGGGGAAATTACGTGTACAGCGTGTAGGTCAGTCGGAGTGTGTGTGACCCAGATTGTTGGGACCGCCTCCGTGGTCTAGTGGTAGAGCGTCCGCCCGGAGAGCGGAAGGTCCGGGGTTCGATCCCTGGCCGCGTCATACCAAAAGACGTTAAAAGATGGTACTTGTTGTTACCCTGTCTGGCGCTCGGCATTAAGGGGCTAAAACAAGGACTGGTCGGCTCAGAGTCAGTATACTGTGTCTGAGTGGGGTATTCATGTTACACTGCGGCATGGTATCTCAGTGAGCTAGCACTATAAATCGGCATCAGTCCGGACAAGTACAAGCAGCCACACACACACATACACACACGTGCATGCACGTCGCTATAAAAGTGCAATAATCTTGGACGCGACGTTAAACTCATTTCACCTCACCCAGATTGTTGGGATGTGACCATGGTGATGCCAGGTGAGTTCCAGTGAATTGGGTTTTTTTAGAAGCTGGAAACTTTTGTCAAAGTTTTTTTATCTACTTAGGATCGAAGAAGAAAGAGAAATGCATAGTGTGAAATAGATAAGTATATGAATATACAATTTTTTATGAAATTTACAACACATGGATAATTCTAAATGAACGTAGACATAGATTTTATATGTCTATCATCGTTAGGATACATACTTCACAATGATATACTGATGGACATGAATAAGGGAACACTAAGTTGTAGACACAGTGAATTGATATGCTGTCATGGCTTCCCAGCCCTGTCTACCAATGACGCGTTGACAACAATGCACCCAAACACATCTCAACATTTGATTTTGACAGGTGTTGGATTTTTATGCGCGCTATTTCCTCCAATGTACTGACAGTAAAGCTTATTTGGGTGCTACAAAATCACAATTAATGTCAACAAGTAGCAGACTTAGAACACTGGCACTTTCACCCATGGCTTGGCAGTGCATATACCTTTTGGATTTGCTGAATTTAGATACTGTTGGAAAGACAATCAACTTAAGTTGAATGTTATCCAATTTGGTTACACTACATGCAGAAATAAGCATGTTGTAACACTTCTTATACAATGTATATGTTTTTGAAACCGTGACGTCACAGTGCAGCATTGAGCAGTGTACAAAGCCAACTGACAGACAGGCACCATGAGGGTTAGATGAGATTCACAAACTCTCTCACCACACGATGGCATTTAAGCTGTTGCTCTTAACACAATATACTAGTATATTAATAAAGTTAACTCTGTCTCTCTCCTTGGTTACAGGACAATGCAATAACAATATCAGGTGGGGAGAAGTTGCTGTACGAGTGTGGCCAGACAGTGGAACCTCCAGACTACAGTGAGCTGCTTCTACTTTCCGAGTCCACGTCATTATGAGACTGACTGCTTCTGTCAACACACCACTGGTTAGCAGCTGTCTTGCTGCATTTGTTCATCTCAGCATTCTACCTGCAATATTCCACAAGATATTTGTAAGATATCAGCCATATGTTAAGTGAGCAGCTTGATCTCTATATTGTATATGGACAGGTCCAACTATAGACATTGCTGTATTGTGTATCTAATCAAGACTGTAACTTGATTACATGGAAAAACCCGGCCTTCTGTGTTTCTTTCACAAGCATGTTACCTTGGCTTGGTGCTACACTGCAAAGTTCCAGCAGGACTCAAGGACGTTCATGTGAGACAAAATAGGAACACTGGGCATCATGTGAGACAAATGGGATCACTTATGACAAGTTATGAGAGACAAAGATGTGAGCACTAACCATCATGTGAGACATATATGTGAAAATTGATCATCATGTAAGACAAATGTGAGCACTCTTATGTGATACATAAATAGAGGTCATTTCACGTGTTGAATGAAATAGCAAGTGACGGGAAAGGAGATATTTCATGAGTTGCATAGCCACGAGTGAAAATATCCCCTTTCCCCCCTGTCACGAGATGAGAGAAACATGCTATTTCACGAGACACAAGGAATATTCTATTTATTATATACTTTTTGTGTAGTTGTCTACAGGAAAATTAAATTATTTAATTTCATATGTAAAACCTTGAAACATAAATTCTCCGTACCTAACACAGAGACATTTCACCACCCCTTGTATTTGCTACTTAAGAGGGAGTTCCATGTTTGCAAAATCTTTAAAAATATAAACAAAAGTAACAAAAAGTATTTAGGGTCACAAAAATTCTTTGTCATACATTTAGATATGATTATATACAAAATCAACTTCAACAATAAATAATCTTGAAATCTAAGAGACCACTGTTGGAAGCAAAAGAATACAAGCTGGTCAAGCTTAAAAAGGGCACTTTGCGAAATAAACGGTCAACTTCAGAAAACCCAATCTTTCACACTGAAGTATATAATAAATGTTTACACTGAGTATCATGTGAGACATAAATGTTTGCACAGTGTCTTATGTGAGACATCAAAGTGAACACTGAGCAGTATGTGTGACATAAACATGAGCACACATGCATTTTTCGTGTTTATGTATTTTTAGTTCACCTGACTGGAAGTCAAGTGACTTTATGTTGTGGCACGTAGTCCACCATCCCTGGTCCATCCATCTAGTTGTCTGTAAGTAATGAACTTTTACATTTTCAATTACAACTAAAACTACAAGGCGTATATAGGTGTAAGTTTGTATAATTGATAGCTGGGATCATTCATGCAAAGTTATAGCTTCATAAGCTTCATCGTTGTAATTGTGACCCACCTGTAGAAAAGGCACCTTATGGGTGTTTGGATACAATTGTATCTTGACGTCAACTCACTTCAGTGAAGATCGCCATGTGTGATGTCATGTATCTCTGCAATAAATATGAATTGAAGCTTGTGAATTGTATTTTTGTGTTCCGAAGATGCTGTAGTTTTAAAATATAATGAAAAGTTAAAATGTGATTTTTCACCGATAGGGTCCCTTATCTTTTGGTTGATCACAATTGTTCTGGAAAGTGTACTGGTTAATGACATTTAAACCCCATTATTGGAGGCATGTGTGACTTTGTTTTGTCTATTTTGATTTTTGACCAAACTTTGCACCCTGCCTTCACATACCCTCAAGTGTGACTGCATTGTGACATTTCCTCTGGAACCTTTGGGCTTATGAAATATCATGAATGTGATCACAGCAATGATGTCTCGTAATATGGCAGTCATATTGAAAATTTAAATTTTGCCCATAGCTCATCCATTTCTGTATGTAGGGTTATTTTTAAAGTAATTATGTGATATGAGAATATGTTGTGTGTAGTGGTATTTGTCTCAACTTTTGACCTTATCTACTGTTGTGTGGTAGTCAGGATGGACATGTCAGTTTGTCATAGCCAGTTATGAGTAAGAATTTTGTTGCTTATCACTCTTTACCCTTGTATAACCGGTCTTATCTGATATATTATTCAGAAACATTCAGGTGAGTTACAGAGCCTCGTGGCTGTATTTAACATAATAATCTATACATACTTTCTTTACCGCTTCCGTTTTTTTTCATTATGTACTCCATGGTGCCTCTGATTGTGATACAATATACCAAAAACAGAAGTGTAAGTTGGAGCTGCTTGAATCTGCTTATGCATGTGTTCACTGTACATTTTCTGCAATAAACTCATAATCAAGACAATGCTCTAGCCTTAGAAACATTGGGAAGCACTGTAACATGAAAGCTGCCTTGAGTGGTAGGAATGTCAACACTTGGTCAGCATTGCGCATGGTCAGTTTTCTGACAATATCAACCTCAAGTCAGGATAGACAAATATATGTGTACTCTGCAAACATTAGACATTTGAATCGCATAGAAAGTTTTGGGCCTGGCGTATTTATGTTACTGAATGCTCATGTATGACATATATGAGACTGCCAACCCCCTTTTGGTATGTGGGATTCAGGGGTGGTTGTCGAGTCATCTTTCACAATTTGTTGTGCTTCAGTCCAGTGACTTGTGGATAATTTACTCTGAGCTACACCTTCTCCTTAGCTTTGAAATGCAAAACTATGTTTAGAGCAGTTATGCAATGTTTTTACCCTAAAGGGTCAGTCACCAAAGAATATAGATCCAAAGCCAAATGATGTTTATGGAGAGGCTGCTCCATCACAGTCCACAATTATAGTCTGGAAGTTAATTTTAAGGTACCGTCGTTTACTACAATATCTGAAAAACTATCGGACCTACTCCAGTCAAAGTTGGTATGAGATTATTAAACAGTCATACATAACTGGATATTATATTTAAGACAATTGGTGCATGAATAAAAAATCTGTCTATTTAGCTATCACTATATTTCACCAACAACCAGACCTGTTCGTCACGTTGAAACAGCCATCTGCATAATGCTATCCCTGCGTCACAGGGCCATATGACACAGTTGAACCAATCAACTCAACTCGAAAAGTTGCACGGGAATCACGCACACACGAATACGGTGTTAGCGTTGGGCATCTCAAGCAGTTATTTAATATTTATCCAGTTATTTTTGCATTCTTTTTCACCAAAGGGTTTTGATGTTCGTCCCCAGAACGATAATATTGCCTGCTCTCTTCTACGGTGGCCCATAAGGGACATGGAGTCTGTTTTTCAATATTTTGATATTTCACTTACTGTTATCGTAGCCTTTTGCATGTGGGTCGAGGATTGGGCTGTTCCTCTAATTGTGGTGAGTATAGGAAGGTAGTCGCTTCCCCATGCCAAGTGTCACCATGGACTTGCCAATGTGAGGCGAGGTTGTTGGTGGCAATTGTGAGGTCAATGTGATGTGGACATGGTCATAAAGTGTGTGACTGCCGTTGTCTTGAGTTATGAGATTGTCGTCTTCAACCAATTTCTCTACGATTTTGCCATATTTGCATGATTCGTTCCTTTCACCAAATATTATCCCATATTTGCCTATTATTTGAGCTAGTCTCTTCAACTCTTCCGTGTTTGTTTCATGTGATATACATTCACAATAGATAATTCATTGCCATTTGCCAGTTTTAAGAAGATTACTTGGGTATTCAAGGTTTCGTACATTTGTCTTGATATTTTTGGAGGTACAGCTGTCGTGGACAAGGGTGTTAAGTCCTCCCCCCTCCCCAGATACAAAATATTAGTAGTTTCAGTTATAGCTTTTAGATAAATACTAGCCTAAGGTAACAAGAACCCATCTCCCAGACACACAATTCAATAAGACAAAAGTTATTTCTCCATAGTTTAATAGATTTTATACGACACATTCCGTCAAACTTATCGTCCATCTCTCGCTTCCGTGGGATAAACATTTGAACGGAGGAGGCGTTGCACAGTACTTGGGAAGCACTGCCATATAATCTCAACCATATATTAGACATTCCGGAATATTCGTTTGTTTTCAAAATTTTAATCGAGAACTTGTCAAGATATTTTTCAAGCGTAGTCTGAAATGGAAGTTGCCAGGTTGAAACGAGTGCCGCAAAGCTCGAGAATTGCTTTCTAATTGGCTGATGGGAACTTCTTGTTAGTCATTTCAGTGGTCGATCAAAGTTCGCAAAAGGTCGTTCTGATGTGACCTGTAATGGGATGTCCTCAGATCTTTGTTCAGCGGCAGCGAGAACTTAGATCTGATTTTAATGAGATTGAAGAAAACCCAACCCTACTACGATCAGTAGCTATCACTAATATTCAAACTACCTGGGGCAGCTGGACCCATATATACACAGATGGATCCAAGAATCCTATCAATAACAGTACTGGTTACGAGATCCATATCCATAGCTCCGAACCCCAAGCACATTCGGTTCACCTGCCTGACCTATCAGACTTGCAAAGTGCACTTCAAGCCATCAGGGGCTGAAACTCAAACTCTAGATCAAACACAGTCAATAATATTCTATACGAATATACATAACTATCGGACCAAGGACTACAGGTGGAGCTGTGTTGGATCCCGTCTAACATAGAAATTCATGGAAATGAAAAAGCAGGTTACCGCACCAGCTTCAAATAACTATCAAAGTTTTTGCCCCTCTCCGTTTTTCTTCTCCTCTCACAAACCATATTGCTCACACTCACTAGTAATTTCTGAGATCTTCCACACTAGACTCTATTAAGTGTTATTCCTGGCAAACATGCGCGTCTTCACAGGTTGCAAGTGGTTCGATCTTTTTCAAGAAAAGCAGAGCACATTTAAGCACAGATAGATGTTCCTCTAGATTCTCATAAGACGAGACAATGTCCTTCAAAATGTGGGCAGACATCACTCCAGATGGGATTTATGAGTCACAGGCATTAAAAGGAAAACAATTTCCTATTGCAAGTCATCATCTGGTTCTGACAGAAAATGTTTCGTTAGAGACGGACAGATAATTTGTTTCCAGTCTTCCTGAACTCCTATTTTACAATCCAATTTCCCTTTTAACAGCAGCATTATTATTGGTCCACCACTGACATTCCAATCCAGGCCATCCACAAGCATACTGTAAAAATATATACATTAAGTTTATATAAATGAAGGGGGCAATTGTAACATCTAGCAAAACTGCATGGGGAATTTTGTTACGATTGCCCCGAATGAAGACGTCCATGTTTCATCCCGTGTCACAGATCTACCGCATAGTTACACAATTTCAAAATATGGCGCCATGTGACAAGTTTCTATTTAAAAAGATAAATCACACAACTAGCAACATACGTCCGGTGAAAAAAAAGTTATGATATTGAGCTTTTTACTTGCATGCATACAATTTGAATTTTGGTCACTGCTTCTTTCTGCATCATCAGGCGTCCTGGAGTTTAATAATGCAGTGCAGTCAGTCATCAAACATGTCTTTCTCAGTTTTGTGAGAATATCCACTGGCGTACAATTTTAGAACACACAGCAAAACAATAAGAAACATAAATAAGTACAAATAGCAAGGTAAAAATTATTTAATAGGCCATGCAGTTTGTTTGTTTGTGCGACACTTAGCAATATTCTAGTTATATGACGGCAGTCTGTAAATAATTGAGTCTGGACCAGACAATCAACCAAGTCAGAGAGCCTGACCACCCGATCCGTTAGTCACCTGTCCCAGTTGCGTGGATCCATGCTCATGATGTCAATCCCTGGATTGTCTGGTCCAGACTTGATTATTTACAGACCACCGTCATATAGCTGGAATATTGCCGAGTGCGGCATTAAACAACAAACAAAAACAAACTCTTACAAGCTTAGTCGCCTCTTAGGACAAGCATGGGTTGCTGAAGACCAATTCTAACCCAAATCTTCACAGGTCGCATGTTAAATATTGTTTGTTATAACCGTGGTTTGGGTCCGCAGATTCAACATTTAAAAAGAATAGTTCAAATCCTGTTTTGTATAGATGACTGTTTCACATGTAATCTCTCTCAGCCACGCTCATAGACTCCTCCACTTTGAGTTTCATGTGATTTTACTCCCAATAACTTAATTTTGCTACACGTTTTTGATTTGTGATAGTTCATTAAAGTTATGTGTGTATGTTCCATCAATAATATGTAGGTATGTCATCGATAATGCAGTTTGGTGTTTACCTAATCACCTAATCCATTTGGTCGCCTTTCACGAACAGTATAGGTTGCCTTGTACCAATTCTAACCCACAGGGCTTCATGCCATTGCATAAGCTCAGCCATGTTAAGTTTTTCAACATTTGCATCTTATAGCAGGCACCAGTTCAGTAATTTTCATCATAATGCAAAGGAATGCAGTTCATTAGGAATTTACATCCAAATGGTACCAGTCCCAACACAATCTACCGTGTGGCATCTTTTGCAATGAAGCAATTAAGTTTGTGATGATAAAGATCTAGAAGAACTGTGCGAGATGTCTAAGAGTCTGCAAATAAATGTACTTTTCAGAGTAGTTTATTTTTAATGTTTTTCAAATTTATAGTTGCATTTATTCATAACACAAAGAAAATAAAGACCAAGAGCAGGAAGAAGTGGTTTGGTGTTGAATATATTGGCTAGAGAAAACTGTCATGGAACTGCCAACCATGCCACTTTCACTTGCTGCATCTGCTCAGATATGATTCAAAAGCCGACTCACCCGTGCCGATCGAAACCATGCCCATGTATTTCCTTGTTTCTAACTATGATCCATGTTATCCTTACAGTATTCCCTCCCACACTTTTCTGCCATAAAATAATCCAACAAATTATTAAATATCCTGTCATTGATGCAATTCCATGAATTTAACATTATTCCCCACCACTCAGTATCTTGTAGAACAAGACGAATGTACCAAATAGCATTGATATCGTAACCACTTGTAATAGTCTGTAGACTGAAGTCATGTGATACCATGACCACCCATAACCTTTTTAAGTGTCCAGTTGTTCAGCTTGTTGGGGGGCGGTCGGGTAGCCTAGTGGTTAAAAAGCGTACGCTTGTCACGCCGAAGACCCGGGTTCGATCCCCGACATGGGTACAATGTGCGAAGCCCATTTCTGGTGTCCCCCGCCGTGATATTGCTGGAATATTGCTAAAAACGGCATAAAACCATACTCACTCACTCAGCTTGTTGGGCTAACAATCCAAAGGTTTGCATCTTCAAAGATTCTCACAAAAACAAACAAACTGGATGTCTGTGACAGATCGTCTTCACAAGAAGTTCTGGTACTGAATTCTCAAGGTGCTCCTTAAGTGGTACATTATAATTAGTTGCTCTTATATGATATATGTACGGCAATACCTTTGAGTATCTTAAATTGCCTCAAATATATCAAACATACAGTTTGGGACATGGGTTCAGTCATCGTCGACGCCTTTCATGAAATTTGAACAAACAGACCGTTCATTTCTGCCCATCATAATGATTGCATCCTTGCAGACTACTTCTTTCACGGTTCTGTGTAATAAAAAACCCAACATCTACCACAAACACATACAAATTTATTGCAATATTCGTTCATGATAAAAAAAAAATTGAATAAAAAAGCCTAGGTGTTACAGTTTTCCTATAGTGAAAGGCATGTACTGCTACACAACATGGTACATTCAGGTCTCAAAGCAAAGGTATGAATGCTTGTACTTGCATGAACAAAAGTGAACACAATGACATATTGTAAACAGACTAAGTGTGAATTAAGAGAATTAGAAAGACATATTAACATCCAATTGTTTCTGTAACAAAACACAGTTGAGCCAGTAAAAATTTCAAACATTACAAGGCCTCATGTGCAAGAACATTTGAGCATGTGCAAATTCAAATTCAATATTTCATTTTGACTTTAATGATAGATTAAGATTGTTACAATAGTAATAAATAATCAAGATGTCACACTAAAAATGAGTTTAAAAAGTATATTCAGTATAATGAATCATATCAAAATGCATTCAGATTAAATACATTAAAAATATTTTTGTATTATATGCTATGTGATTTATGAACAATAGGCAGTGATCTTTGTATACCATTAGTAATACATTATGTTAAAAACAAACTTCTGAAAAATCTGTCATCATTAAAACATTTAGAAATAGGCACAACTGATCACCAGGTAGCCAGGTTTACAAATTCAACCAAAGTAGTATACAGCAAAAAACATAAGTGGTTTTACAGATGATCAAAAGTCCTATCTGAATGCTGCTTGCAATCATACAACAGAATGAAAACAATTTGTTGCATTTACCTACTACGATGAGATGAGCACAAAACATTATCCCCTTCCAAAGTAAATGACAACACAATCTAAGTACCTAACATGCAAACACTACATTGCACTAACAAAGGAGCAGCATGGCTTGAAATGGTGCTTCTTTGACTGTCACAAGCAGGAGACAAACATCATACTAGACATCACAAGACGATGGGTATGCCGTATACATGATACAGCAAGAGATGACTCTTTCAAGCACTATCCTCCTGTCATGTTGTGGAAGTTTGTGGCCCGTCTTGCCTGCCTCCCTATGAATCACTATGAATCACTATGTTACTGAACAGTAACAATATCTCAATTTGTAACTGTCATTGCTCCAATCCCGGCGTCTACTTGTTTGATGACTGCTTGATCACCTGAGTCTGTTAGATTCTGGTCCACCAAATGTTTGCTCCCTTCCCTAGGCTGAAATCACACAAAATGGTTAAAATCCTAATGTGCCATAAATAGTATACATTTGGTTATGATATTTTGAAATTAAAATATCCCCCCCACCAAAGGCTCACATAGCTCACCTGGTACATAAATGAAAATGATGACTTCACGCTCAGGTCCTGAACTAATTAACACAGAGGCCAAGTTTGTTCCAATGTTTAAGAATATAAGCATGATCAAAACGCAAAGGGTAAAAAAACAAGGTCAATCTAAAAAATATCATTCACACCTGAACAATGTTAAATCACATTACTAATAACATATACCAAATTACATTTCATTTGGAAAGAAAATGAACTTAAAACATTTGGTGGGAACAACACGCACTTAAGTTCAGCTTAACTGGTCCAGTGGTTTCTTGTGAAATTATGTTTACAGACTTCATTTTGAAAGAACCAGAAAAATGTTGCATTACATGCAAAAACAGAAGCACCTCCATACCTATACGTTTTTGAACGTCCCCACACGTTCCAACCACAAACATGTATCATGAACCATTTTGACTTCACCAAAACAGGTGACAGCTAACCTCATCAATATCTATCCATATTCATAATCTTTGATCTCTGAATATCATCAAATGCTGTTCTATGCCTCAACCTACCTAAACACAAAACAGGACATAACTTTCCTGGTTTTAATGGCATTACTTCTGGTTTGGAAAGATCCACACCCAATGCAGAACAAATTTTAAACAGAAGGACCAATACTAAAAGCTACCTTATCAACAAAAACAATAACTACTTTAAATGATGTGGACATTTGACATGATCTTGACACATGGCAAGGACAGAAGAAAGTGCTTATGTATTGATCATTCTAAAATGTTTCCTATTATTATGAACTCAATGTTATGACATTGGTGACCTTGATCTTCATTGGATGTCACGGAGAACATTCTAATAAAAGTGTCATGGCACTGAAGCTCACCTTGCTCTGTAATAAATAGTTTAAAATGTCAAAGAAAATAGTCCCAATGATTTGAGCAAAATGTGATCACAAGGAGAATATACCGTATATTGCCGTCTATAAAGAAAACACGTGTTTAAGGCCTCCCCCCTGTACAAGCCTTCAAAGTTGATGCTCATTTATATACCCCGTCTGTAAAGCGAATCGGAATGAAGAATGTAACCAGCGCATACACAATTTCTACATTTGCAATAAAAAACGTGTTTGTATTTTGTAGAAAAAAATTACATTGTATCCCTTTGTATCGTATTCTGGAAAAACAAAAAGATCATAACAATTAAACTTGGTCAATACAAATTTGAAATTCTTTGGCAAGAAGAGGCTAATTCTTGATTTGTCAGCTTCACATGACACAGAGCATACTCCCAGTACCAACGATCTTATTAGTGAGGATTCTGCTTCACTTTCTTATGTGACCATAGACAATGCTATCGTAGAATTAAAACAATTGGGACAAAGTGCTGGATGTGTAAAGTGGACATTACTGATGCGTTTAACCCTCTGGATGCAAGTTGTTTTTTCTGACGCACATTTACCTGGGATCTGATAAGTGAATGTTGTGCGAGAATTGCATTCACGCGTCACTGGATCTACGGCTATAAAATTAAGCAGAGATGTAGAATATCAAATTTCCTATCTGATGGTGTAAATTTAACTGCAAATATTAAATCGGTTTGAAAAAGAGACGCTGCTAAGTGTTGTCGGAGCATTTACTCTGCTATGAAAAACAGCAAATTTCGCTGCATTTTATCGTACTGATAAAAGTACTGTGCAAAGATTTATTTTTTTTTTGGCAGTTTTACAGAAACTGTGAGCAAACAAAATACTGCATTATATCTGAATGACAAAAATATACATGTATATCAAATGGATTTATATTCTTATGAATAACATAATACATTCAATACAAAAAATACCCTGTTGTAAATTATGAAAACTGATTTTCCTCCGATGTCAAAAGACGACAGAGGTTACACGCGTACAAAGACAAGGGGGCATAACTCTGCTATACTTAGCACTAGTTTATTGTAACTCGGGTCACTTGGTAAGAATTAGCTGTGAATAAGGACAATATATTTTCGTGGTGATTTGTTCACAAGGAACTAAACTATTCCAAAAAAAATATCGAAATTGAAACTGTTTACGTTTAGGCATAAACAAACCCATAAGAAATGATAAAAATCGTACTTCATAAAAGAGGAAGTAAAAGCAAAATAGATGGCCCTATCTAACCTATAAATTAGTCCTAACATTCCAACATTCTCCTGATTGTGCAAGTGTAATTTGACTTATGTTGCACCATTAAGTAGCCTTTTCATCAAATGTTATGAATTACTAAAAAAAATGACACCATTCTATTTGACGTCATGGGCTGGTTTTATGGCATCAACGTCGGAGGAGATGACACTGGTATTTTGATTAATATTTATTTCCCCTAATTTTTGTTCATAGTATGGAAAATCTGTATGTATAAAGCGGAATTTGACGCTTAATATATAAACAATTCGACAGTTTATCGTGTATCTTAATTGGACAAGACACGCACCTGTTTTGTATCAATTTTATGAAATCCAATACCCAAAAGAATATTTCAAAACAACCAAAATTATATTCAATATTTGACATGTATTGTTCATTATTATGTGATTTTTTTTTGTCTTAATCTTGTCTCAGAATCATACAATAAAAGATGTGAAGAAAGTTCCTTAGCTATAGAACTAAATTATCAGGATAATTGTATAAGGTTCGACCAATGGGGTACATGACACGGTTCATATTTTTAATACTTTTCACAATTCTTTGAGAAATAAAATAAACAATTCAAAATCTTGTAATCACAATATTTAAAAAAGGGTGAACCCACCGATAATACAAAACGAGAGGAATAATTCGTAAATCGTTTGAGACTAACGCGCACCTAGCGTGTCGTTAGGTATTGACAATTACCCTCCAAAGAAATACGTACGTTGCACTTACATTTACATTTCATCTTGTAACACTTGTCTAAAATAAAAAATATATATCATAACGACACTATAAACTTATCAATTTTTTGTGTAAATGTTCAAACAAACTGGACATTATCAAAGGTCCATACGTTTTGTGGCCTATATCTGCGTATGATATATCGAACATTGATAAATATCCATTGTGAAATTAATTGTGTGAAAAAATGTCTTAAAGATATGCAAAATCATCATCATCATTGAAACTGTCCACAGCAGGGTACACTGATCATGTTTACTTTCTTTCAAGAAAATTACCAAATATGTACAATGTTGACGTATCACATCACAACCGGTAACCGACTTATACAAAATGGCGTGTTCACTAACAGTACGCTGGAATTTACGAGGGGACTTTCGTCGATTCAAGGATTGTATTCACATAAATGTGACATGTAAGTAATCAGAAACATTCAGGTAATCTGTGTACTGTTATTTGTTGTTATATTTTTCATTGAAGCTAAGTAAAAATAGTCAGAAATTCCGATAAATAGCGTTGTCATTGTGCATGATTTTGTATCAGTCATGGCGTCACGCACGACTGATAGTTTGACTATTTCTGTTGAATTTATCAATTCACTACAATGTTTCTATTTTTAATTCCCTAATTCTTCCTCGGATTCTCTTCCTATGCATATTCTGAAAATGTTGAGCCAACGTATGCAACGAATAGACTAATGGATAGCTCAAAATAAGAGAAAATGCGACACTATGTAAAATCTGAATTTTGCTTTGCTTACATTTCAAAGTTTTCCTAGCACAGCGTTCGTTTTCCCACCTAACTTATTTTGCTTGATTTCATCTTGGCACTTTGTATTGCTGACAAAGACCTTTTGTCATTTGATTCTAAAATGTATGAGAAATTCACGGATGTATTTACCGCAGCTGAGTTTGACATATACATGATGTTACAGGCGTCTCATAACCAGTATGCGGAAACATGATTTTGTAAACAGTATCCAATATGGCGGAAAGTTCACTTTGGCGTTCATGTTTGCGTATTTTCCAAAACATTCTAAACGATTCTAGGGTTATTGGCTACGTTTTGGAATGATCATTGGCAATTTGATAAAAAACATATCCGTGATCACTTATGTTATTTTTTAAATTCATTTCTCCCAGTAAATATCCGAAATTTAGATTTCAAAACATGCATTTGCTTCCCCTAAACTGCCAGTGGATGATATCACAGAATTTCCCATAGTGCATTTTACACGACTTCAAATGGAGGGTTGAAGAGGAGCGACATACATGTCCCTCTGGCATCCAGCGGGTTAAGCAGATTCCGCTGCACCCCGGGTACTGGCTTTTCTTTGGTTTCTGATGGTATGCAAGCTACTATTTCTATACTAGATAAGCTTTCGGGGGCAGATCAAGTCCAAAGATCTTTGATACCCTGTCACATGCCGTGTGCTGGATGTTGCAATATAACTATGGTGGGGAAAATAGTCTGCATCTGTAAGATGACTTTGTGACAATTGATCCTTCTGCTCATGAAGCTAGAAGAACTATGAATGTAATCCTAAATTTGTTTGACAACTTCCAAATTCCTCTTGCAGCTCACAAGACTGAAGACCCGTAACTTAGCTAGAATATTTAGGGATCTTTTTTTAACTCAGTCTCTATGACGGCTAGGTTATCAGAAAAATAGTTGACAAAAATAGCATCAATGTTAAGATCTTTTTCTATTTGGACTAAGTGCATAAAAAGGGAGTAGCTGTCATTGTTAGGACATTTAAACTACACTTGTCGAGTGGTTGTACCAGGCAGATCCTCCTATCTTATCTGATTCGACTTGTCAGCAACTGTTGCCAAGTTGCACCACCCTATCAGACTATCTAGGGAATGTCGGATAGAGATTCATATGTGGGGAAAACATTTCTGAACCAGTGGAATGGCATTTCGTTTTTCTATGACCAACATCTCAAGCAGCTCAGGATTTCAACCTGTATACGGATGCAGCTGGAAGTGTAGGACATGGAGGAAATTTCAGTA